ATGAAACAATTGAAAATATTAGTCGTATGTTGGATTCATGTTATCAGTTAGAAGGTCTCTCTCTACGAGCTCAGTATTCGTCTCTGGATTCATATAATGAACATTCACTTGATGGCGATATACTCCTTAATCTTTTTATTGATCATGCGCCAAGTACTTTATGTAATATTAAGCTTGATTATTCTGAAGATCAATGTGAAACTGCTTTGACATTTAGTTACACTGCAATTAAATCATTTTTAATTAATTGGGAGAAACAAAAAAGGGTGAAACTCGGACTTTCTATAGTAATAGAAGATTTTGATATGCATACCTATGAATTACATGCGATAGAAGATATGTTTTATGAATATCGTATTAAAGGCGTTCTTGAAACATGTAAATTGATTCCAAAATCCCCTCTAATTTTCTCGGTTCGTGCTGAAGATTGGCAAAGAATTATTCATGACGATTTTATCTAAAATTAAATATATACTATATATATACTGTATATATTATTGATTTTATTACAGTATATAGTTTATAACTGATAAATTTAGTAAATCATACAGAAATGATAGATTTGAAAAAAAATTTTTAATAATATTTCAATAAATCGATCTGAATTGATCATGTCAATATTTGACGCTTTTGTCAGTTAAATGTACAGTCGAAATCAAGATGCTATCAATATACCATCAAATATGTTTGTCATTATACATTAATAATATATACTATCATGCACAAAATCGTGACATGGCATATCCTGATTTTTTCCAGCGATGTTTCTATTAAACGGAATTTTGGATCTGCAGCCGGAGACATTAACAAATACTATCACTTTTTATTTTATGAATATAATCTATTACGTATATTCTAATGATAAAATAACGGAAGTTTTCCAATTTCTAAAAAATTCTGCCGGAACCTCCGGCATTTTACAATAGAAATTTATGCTCTGATCATACTATCAATATAAGATTAATCTACTATCAATATACTTTCACAATCAATACTTTCACTTTTCTAAGGTTCAAGTGATTACATTCATTTGCTGATCTTTACATTTATACGTATTACATATGCACATATATATACATATGTATATCCATAGCTACAAATAGATATAAAAGGTCATTGTAGTGATTTACGGATCAATCATTATCGTTATAATGATTCATAATCGCTTATCCTTACTCGTTTCCACGAATTTTAAAGCCCGTTTGGCCAAGATTGGTTTTAA